CATCACAGCCTGGTTTCTGCAGCCATTCCTCCATCTCCTGCAGCCTGGCCTTCAGCTGGTCAGCCTGTGAGCAGGACACAGGGGAACACGGGGGGACAGTAAGGCGGGGCGAGGGTTGGGGTGCTGTGCCCGTCTCGGCAGCGCACGGGCTGTACCTTGTCCTTCACCAGCCCGTAGCAGGCAGGACACTGCTGGCAGTGGGAGCTCAGAGGGTCAAGGAAGAAGTTGGCCTGGCACCGGTCGCACTTGTAGCCCACGAAGCCGGGGCGGCAGAGGCAGGTGCTGTTCTCGTGGCACTGCGGGGTGACGGAGCCCAGCGGGGAGCAGTTGCAGGCTGCAGCGGTGGCAGAGAGGTGTCACGCTGCGCCTGCCAGCCCTGCTTGAGGGGCTGAGGTGCAGTCCCTTCCCCCACTACCTCGGCAGCCCCTGGCAGAGAAGCCGAAGAAGCCGTGGTGGCAGCGGTCACATTGCCTCCCCGTGACACCTGGCTGGCAGGAGCACTGCCCCGTCACTGCGTGGCACTCCCTGTCACGCGACCCTGTCGGGTGGCACTCACAGCTGGAACGAGAAGTGGGGGGACATGAGCAGGCAAAGGACACAAAGAGCAGGGAGCAGAGCCAGGGATACAGGGCCACCCTGTCCTTGGCAGCCCCACGCCGCGCCCCACGTACCTCTTGCACCCCACGGTGGGCTCCAGGCCGTAGTAGCCAGGCTGGCAGTGTCCGCAGGCTCTGCCTGTTACGTGTGGGAGGCAGTGGCACTGGCCCGTGATGGGATCACAGCCCTCCAGCCCTGGGTCTGAGCCGCTGGGGTTGCAGTCACAAGCTGTGGGAGACAAAATAGCACCTACATCCCGGCACGGAGCTGGTGGACGGGACTGTGGGAATGGGACACCAGGGCTAAGCCCCCCCACCCAATGTGGAGAGTCACATCCCCCCATCAAACAGGGCTTCGAGGGGCTGAGCCCCTGCAGACCAGAGTATCCCCAGGAAAGGATGCACTGGAGAAAGAGGGCAAATGCCATTCCAGAGCATTTAGGGCTAACCTGGACTATCCATCACCCCTAAACTCTCTGGGCATCCCCCTTCCACCCTCTGCCTCCACTGCTGGGAGGATTTTGGCTGCGAGTGAGCTGTCCCCAGGACTGTACGTACGTGCACACTTCCCAGCAGGGCTGGGAGCCAGCGCGTCCCCGTAGAAGCCTGGCCGGCACCTCTCGCAGTGCTCGCCCATCGTGTTGTACACACAGCGCAGGCATCGGCCAGACAGGGGGTCACAGTTCCCCACGGCATTGAGATCCACGTTCCCATGACACTGGCAGGGTTCACAGGGACGCACAGGGCCCCTCTGCCCCAGGGGGTCCCCGAAAAACCCGTCATCACAGAGCTCACAGCGTTTCCCTGAGGGAGGTGAAAAGATGGGGAGGGTTTGGCCGTGTCAGTGCTGCCCACAGCCCCCATGCCCACCCACCCCCAGCCTCACCTCTCTGCCCTGGGGGGCAGTGGGTACAGACCACCTCCCCACTGCTGGGCACCTCGGTGCAGGGTGAACCTCCGGGGCAGGGGCACGGCTTGCAGTCATCAAAGCGCCCTACGAAGGGGTTGCCATAGAACCTGGCGCTGCAGCGCTCGCAGGAGGGACCCTCTGTGTTGTGCAAGCACCGGCAGTGCCCTGCAGGGAGAGAAACAGAGCTGAGGGTCTGCAAAAACCCAGCCCCAAATAACAGCAGGGACCGTGGGAGGGATGGAGAGCCCAGCGCTGAGCGTGGCACACCGGGTGCCAAGAGAGGGATGTGAAGCTCCAGCCGAAGGATCACGCTGGGGTCGCACATCTCCAGCCAGTACTCGGAACATTTCCCCTGCCTTCCTTGTCCTTGCTCAAGGGAGAAGGTTTTGGAGAGGACAGGGGGCACACAGCTTCACGGGGACAAGGCAGAGCTGGCATAGGCAGCACCATCAGTGTGTGTGTGTGTGGAGGCTGTCGGCGCCTGCCATAATCAACAACACATTTCTCAGCCACGAGGCGCGTCCTTTCCAGCCTGTCATGGAAAACTCAAGCAGCCAGCCCGGCACCCACTGGGGAGCATCTCCTCCAGAGCGAGCCGAGCCGGTGAGTCAGCATTCCGAAATCGGCTGTGAGGAGGAGAAGGAGGAGGAAGATGAGGAAGCGTGCTCAAGGAACCCCCCACCTCCAGGCAGATGCTCCACTTCACTGGGGAGAGGAGGAGCCAGGGGGAAGATTTTCCCCCACGGTTTGTGGGGTCAGGTCACACCACGAATGCTGTGCAGGAGGGAACTGGTGGGTTTTTTCCATTTTCCCCACCTCCAGGCAGTCAGACAAAGGAAAAGAAAGGACAAGCGGGTGGCAGGAAGAAGTGGAAAAATAAACTAAAGGAAGTGCGCGGGCTGGCAGAGCCTGGGCCGGGACATCAAAAGCCTGGCCCCATCCCTGGGGATTGTGCAGCGGCGCCAGCCCCAGCTCTGTGAGATGAGGGCGAGTTTGCAGAGCTGCCACCACCCCCAGGGGCTCCCCTCTATCCAGGATCTCTGGGTAACAAATGCATCATTGTATTTCCAAGCTTTTCCCAGCACTTGTCGGAGCTGCTGTTGTCTGCAGGGGATGGGGTGCACAGCAGCATCTCATGAGCCCCGCAGGGCTCCAGTCTGCATTTCCCTGGGGCTGAAAGCAGCAAGGCTGGTGTTGGATTCACATAGCCACCTCAAGCTCCATGGCAGCTGTTTGCAATCCTGCCCCCCCTTCCCCATCCAAAGCCAGCCAGACACTTTGTCTGGCAGCAGAGGTGAGTGACAGCACCCTGTGAACCATCCTAGACACAGCCCCAGCTGCCCCAAAGACTTTGCTTTGGCCTTCTCCTCCCTTCATCCACAGTCCCTGCTGCAGTCACACACACACGTCTTGAGTTGGACCTGGAGGCAGAACAGGGCTTGGGCTGGCAGCAGAAGGGCCAGCTCCTCCCATGCCTTCCCACAAGCCTGGCACTGATGTGTTTTTCTGCTCTTTTCCTTGTTTCTCTGCTCAGGTCCACCCCCAGTTTGCAGAGTCCAGGGCTGCTGCTCCACTCATCAGGACCCAGGCTGGCAAAACCCTCTGCCTCTCTGCTGCCTTGACCCCTGCTCCCACACTCCTCTGAGGACCAGCATCCTTCCCTTCTCCTCCTTAAAGGTCATATAGTACCATGAAAAATGCCCCTCTAATTATAAGTTAACACCGTTACTGCATTTCATGAATTATCTCTGCCTTTGCAGCTACGAGCCCAGTCCCTACAAGCAACTCAACCTGCAAATTTTGGGTACAGCAACCTCACCGATGGTTTCAGAACAAGCAAAGGCATGGATTTGTCACTCATGCCTGGGCTGAGTGGAGGGGCTGGGGGGGTGCACACCTGTGAGGGGGTGACAGTCCCCGTGCTGGTTGCAGGCGCAGGGCACGCAGCTGACGAAGGGGCCGCCAAAGGGGATCTCCCGCTTGAATCCGGGCGCGCAGGACTGGCAGAACTGGCCGGCATAGCCCGTGGGACACGTGCACTCCTCCACCCAGCCCGCCCGTGTCCCCAGCCCAGGGCTGGCAGATGTGAGCTGGACCTCGCTCAGGGACAGCCTGCCTGCGGGAGGGGAGAGCGGCCTGAGAATGGGATGGCACAATCCACGCTCAGCTCCCTAATTCCTGCCTGGAAATGCTCCAGACAGGCACAGGAGACACCAAAAAACTTTCTGGAGAGCTCAGGGGTGTTCACAGTGAGGAGCCAGCCCCTGCTCCAACACACCCCCCTGTGGTGCCTCTAGTTCATGATGCTGTTTCGGTGTCCCTGGCCCATCCCAGCTTGGTCCCTGTGGGAATGTTGTGTGTAGACCACCCACCTCGCACGGGGCCACGGCTCACACGGAGCCTGAGGGCAGTCAGGTTGGAGAGCAGGCGCTGGAAGCTGAAGGCCGACAGCAAAGGCTCTGCACCCTCCTCTGCCTCGTGCAGCCTGTTGGAGAAGGAGCACGGGAGCAAGGACAGGGCCAGTCTGAGAGCCACGTGCTGCAGGACAGCTTGGCCCCCTGGCTGGGACCCAGGCACAGCAGTGGGGGCACAGTTAAATCCCCAGCGGGGGCAGAGAGTGGGGCTGAACCCTATAGCAAAGGGCAACCCAGACAAGATCAGACACACTGCCCTAAACCCCGCTGAGGTTCCCCAAAGCACTGTGACAGGTACCTGAAGGTGACAGCTTGCTTTCCACGCTGGGGCAGGCTCTTGCTGCTGGGCAGGGTGATCTCCATCCCCTCACCCTCCAGAACCAGCTGGACTTGGAGCAGGGACATCCCGGGCTCTGTCCCTGTCCTGTTCTCCACTCCCAACAGCAGGGACAGGAGCTGCCCATAACTGAGGCGCTGGTTCTGCAGAAACTTCTCTACAAAGGGAGAGAGGAGAAAAATCTGTAGGACATGGAGGGACCAGCTCTGCTGGTGAAAGTCCTATTCCCACCAGCATCATCAGGAGCCAGAGTCACCCTTCTAGAGCAGTGCCAGCTCCAACTTGCCCTCCCAGGCAGATCCACTGTTCCAAACTTCCCCAATGCCTTCTACTATTGAAACATGCTCAGCTCTGGGATAGAGCCCAGTGCCTCACACACCAGCAAAGCAGTGGGACACCCCATGAGAGCACCAGGGGGTCCCCACGGCAGAGCAGCACCCCAGGGACCCAGCACACACAGTACCTGGTGCGAGAAAATCCACCGGCTCCTCTCCATCCCACTCCGTGACGATCTCCCCACCATCCCAGCGCAGAGGCAGGTCTGTGGTGCCTGGAGCTGTGGCAGCCCAGCCCTCCAGCCCTGTGTGACAGCACACAGTGGCAACGTTCAGCAAAGGGAGCACCAGTGGGGTGCTGCTTCCAGGGGCTCTGTCCCTTCTCCCCCGGCTCTCCAGGGTTTTTGTAACACCCTGTTCCGCTCGGGCTCTGTGCTCTCATGCACTAGAGGGTGGCCCTAGCCACCCCCCATCTGTTTATTTTTTTTTAGGTTTGGAGGAAATTATTATCTTTAAACTTTTGCCTCCCCGCCTGTGCTGCATTGCTAACATTACTGTGGGCTGGAGAGTGCAGGAGGCCTGGGGAGAGATGCTGGAGAAGCCCAGGGAGAGATGGGGCGTAATTGCATTAAGTTGGTTTTCTTCAGAAGCCAGTTAAACTCCCCCCCATTCCCTAGGGTTATTTCTTCCAGCCCTGCAGGACAAACAGTTGGAAATCCCTTCTCAGCTCTCAAGTGGGCTGTGCTCAGCTATCAAACTATCCCCAGTTTGGACTCTTTCACTCAGGACAGGAAAATTCCATCTGATCCAGCTCCACTGGAGATTGGGGAGCGCTTTGGGGAGTGGGGCTTTAGGAGGATGTCTTGTCTGCATCTCAGCCCAGGGCTTTGCTAAACCAGTCCCAAAAGGAGAACCCCCAAATTGGCTGTGTGAAGGGTGGAAAAAAAGACTCGTTTTAAAGCCTGGCTCTGTTTCAAGGCCGTGGAAGACATTCCAGCAGTACAGCAATTGGCAGCGCAGCTTAATTGCAATCAGGATCAACCCGTGCCTGGCGGGTTCGTATCCATCTGCTCCTTAGGGGGCAGGCGAGGCAGACGGGGGTGCTTGCGGTGAGTGCCCGTCCCTACAGGGTGCAGGGGGGGAGTCCCGGTGAGCGGGGACTTGCGTGAGGGCTGCGGTGTCCCTGCAGCAGGGCTGCACACGCCGGGATGCGCGGCAGATGGCAGGGTTTCCCCGAGCATCCCGCACACATCCAGCCCTGCCACCGCAGCCCTGGCTGCAGCCAGGCAAAGAGCACCCCATCCTGCTCTCCCAGCCACCCTGCCACATACCAGCTGAGGGTGGGGAGAGGAGGGAATAACGGGGAAAGTTCACAGCGGGCTCCATCCATTTAGATTTTCACTTTCTGAGCTGATTTTTAGTGCTCCTGCAGTCACTGGTGTTGTGGGGCAGCCATGCCTGGCCCCACAGCCCTTCCTGAGCCATGCACAGCCCCCGGAGCAGGTTGGCATGGAGGTATACCACGAGGGGGCAAAAGCAGAGGCTTAACGGTAAAATAGGGGCAAGCCAGAGAAAATCCCCTCTGGCCATCACCACTAGTTAGCCCCAAAGGGGAATGATCAGCCCCCAAGAGGGATGCTCAGCCCTACCCTTCCCAAGCTTTTTTGGGTGGAGGTGGCACAGCTGTGCCTGCTGTTTCACCCAGGGCTTAGTGGTCAGTACCGTGGCTGAAGTCGGAGCGGATGTGGGTCTCCTCGTAGCCATCGGCTGCCGTGCAGGCGGTGGAGTGGCCGTAGCAGAAACAGCTGGTGCAACCAATGGGGTTGTGGGGCTGCAGATTAAACCAGCCTGGCTGGCACCTGGGCACAGGGAGGAAATGGGAGCACGTGGCACAGGGCAGGCAGAGCTGCAGGGAACCCAGGGTGGGACACTGGTGGCAGCTTCTTGTGTGCCCGGTCCCACTGATCCAGAGGGATGCAGCCCCACTGTCCCGCCACCAACTCCTGTCACTGATCCCAGACTGGAAAGATACAATGGTCCCATCCCCATCCCAGGGCTGTGGTGCTTACCTGTTGCACAAGTGCCCCTCCACCCTCTCCTTGCAAGTGCAGTGCCCTGTGTTGGGGTCGCAGGTGCCAACGCTGCCCGCCGGGTCGCAGATGCAGGGTCTGGATGGAGTGAGATGAAGGCATGAGGTGAGCCCTGCTTCCATCCTGCTGCTCCTGCCCGGGGTCAGGCTCCTCCTCACCTGCAGCCACCTTCACTGAGGCTGTGGTAGCCGTCCTTGCAGCGCTCACACTTCCAGCCCGTCACGTTGGCTTTGCAGAGGCAGGTCCCCGAGTTGTCACACTGGGGCTGCAGGGAGCCTGTGGGGACCCCGGCCAGCCCTGAGGCTCAACAGGGCAGACTCAACAGAGACACAGGGTGGGGGCAAATGTGGAAACCCCGAGCAATGGAGAACCCACCAAAACTATCCCTCCCTGCCAACTCCAGCCGGGACAGGGGCTGTGCAGCCAGAGCCCAGCTGGGCGCAGCCCCACGCACCTGCAGGGTGGCAGTGGCAGGGCTGGCAGGCTGCCTGTGGCTCCCAGCGGTAGTGGTTCTGCCGGCAGCGCTCGCAGTGGGGTCCATCCGTGTTGTCGCGGCAGTTGCGGCAGTGCCCGCCGTGCCCGCTGCGCCGGTACAGCTCCCGGTCATAGAAACACTCCTCGGAGCGGCCGCTGCAGTTGCAAGCTGGGCGGGAAGGCAGGAGAGGGGGTGAGCACTTGCAGGGCACAGGGTGCACCTAGTGGTTACAGCAACCTCCTGTGGGGTCGGATGAGCCAGAGGGGCCCACTTGGCTCAGCACTGGGAGCTTTCGGCAGTGCTTCTGCCACGGGAAGCAGAGGCGGGCGCAGCACCACACACGGAGCAGATGGCTGCGCTCACGGGGTGAGGGAACAGGGAATCCGCAGGGTGATGCTGTGAAGGGAAGCCCTGGGGTGCAAACCCTCCCTCCTTCCCTCCCTTACAAAGCAGGTGCTCTCTTCCTGTAGCAGGAAGGGCAGGAGAGGAGCTGCTGGATGAGCCGATGCAGCACCAGTGTGGCCACACACCCTGACCACAGGGACAGCCCGAGCGATACTCACGGAGACACTCGTTGGCAGCCTCGGCTGTGCCGCGCGCCCAGGGCCGGTCCTGGTGGAAGGGCTGGCAGCGCTCGCAGTCCACGCCGGCCGTGTGGTGCTGGCACACACAGACCAGCTGCCCGGCCTCGTCCAGCGCGCACTCGCTGGCGTGGCCGTTGCATTTGCACCTGTGGTGAAACCCCAGCACGGGGGAGCCACTCTGAGCTCCCGTGTGGGCAGTGGCAGCAGTGGGACAGCGCCCAGGCTGTGCGTGACCCTGCCAGGCCAGCCGTGGGGTGAAAGCAGCTCGAGGCTGTGCTGGTGTGGAGGCCGCCCGTGGTGTCCCTGAGGTGCTCCCAAGTCTGGCCAGTCAGAAGGTCACACGCCGAGGGTGACCTGTGCTAACCAGCTCCATCTGCTGACCCCAAGCGTGGGACAGCAGCAGGGAGCAGTCCCAGCTGTGCTGCCCAGGGCAGACAGCTCCTTCCAGGATGGAGCAATTTCCCACTCCTCCCAGCTGGGGAAGGGCACGTGCGGCACAGCCCATGGACAGCACTGAGTGGGTGCCAACATAAAGCCAGTGGAACATGGAGAAGAGCTTGTGGGGAAAAGACCACCTTTCTGTACAACTGGAGAGGCTCCAGGTTTAATCATCCACATCTGCATTTCCAGCTCTGCTTTACAGATGGAGGAAGCCACATCTGGGCAGTTTTCCCAAAACCACCGTTCAAATAAGACTGGTGTGGAGCAGCTGCCCCAGCCCCACAGCCCCAGGAAGGTCCCCATAACTCCTGCCCTCACCCCAAACTGGCTGCCCCTCACCTGCCACCGACGGAGAAGTCAGAGATAGCGTAGTAGTATGACTGCAGCACCTTGGGGTCCTTGAAGATGTCATCCCCAAACGTGTTGAGCCGGTTCAAGGAGATAAGCAGGTCAGTGACTGTCACCCACTCCTGCAGGGGACACGGGAAATGCACCTTGTTGAGGGGTCGGGGCCACCAGCTCCCACCCCAACCGGGACTCATCCTGCACCTTTCCACACAGGGAGGGATGCTGGGCATCACCAGTGCTTTTACCCCACGTGGGTGCAATAGTGCTCTGAGTCCCTGGCAGGTCCATACACCCACCCCTCTCCCGCCCTGCCAGCACCTGCAGCGCGGGGCTCCCGTCGAAGTTGTAGGCGCTGGGCCGTCCCTCGAGCGTGGAGAAGGCCACGTTGCCCCCGCTCAGCGGGGAGATGTCGCTGAACTCATCAGTGCAGAAGGCCACCTGCTCGTCCTCCCCCGGCCTCAGGTACTGCCGCGGCCGCTTCCCGTAGGTCTTCTCGCAGGATGCGCTGTAGTACTGGAAGGGCACCCAGGGCCCCTCGGCGTGGCTGCGCTTGTAGATGGCGAAGCTCTCGGGGCGGCTGGTGTGAAACTTGAGCCGCACGTAGGTGATCTCGTAGGCTTTGCCTGCGGGCAGACCCACCCTGCTGTGACCCTCTCCCGGCCTCCCGATGGGCACCACCAGCCTAAATTATCCCAACGCCCTGTCCTGCAGAGCTGCTGCCATCCCACGTTGTCCCCCTCTCCACACCACAGCCAGAAGAGATCACCATCCAGCTGCCTGTAAGCAGCTCCTCCATAGTGCAGCTCCATCCAGCTCCAAACTGGCTCTCACCCCAATGCAGAGCCCACCCCTTGAATCGGTGAACTGGGTGGGTTGCGTTGGCAAGGAGTCACTGCAGGCCCACAACACTGAGAGTGTCCCCAGGGTAGTGGTGCCATGAGGACGCAGAATTGGAAAGGGTCAAGGACAATCCCTTTCCCAGGGATTCGCAGGGAGCTGCGTGCCAGGACCCGGCCTCGCTGCCGTGTTTGCTGGGATGAAGACAAAGAGAGGCCACCAATCCCTGGGGCAGCCAGCGAGCTCTGAAAGCACTTGAAAGAATTAGCAGAAAGGAGAAGAGAAAACACCAAAGTGAACATCAGACCCTGTTAATTGCCAGAGATGAAGGACCAGCTCAAAGCCTGGATTGCTCCATAACAACACCACTCCTGACAGCACAAAACAATTAGCTGCAAGGTTTTGGCTTTATTTGAAAAGATAATGAGTTGGGAATGTTATAGGGGTTATTCCGGGACTAGGAAAACAAGCCTTTAATTGGGCCCATATGAATACTGTCGCGTATGCGCTGCGACTGCTGCGGGGGAGCCGAGGCAGCCGGCTACCAGCACTGGGAAAAGCAGCTGCATCCCATCAGGGATGCGGGGAGCGCCCGGCTGAGTGCCTGGAGATGGGGACAGACCCGCTTCCAGCCCACCCGGAGGTGACGGGGGCCAAGAAGGGTCTGCAGCCGGGCTGTCCCCCCATGGCCACGCTCCCCTGGGCCTCTCCCTTCTCTCTGGGACCCCTCTGGGCCCTTGCCCTGCACCCCGAGCAGGGGGGGATGCCTGGCAGGCACCGGTTCCCAGACAGCAGGGTCCCAGAGGGGACATCTACCAAAACAGCGAGGTCAGGGCCGTCGCCTCCCAGAGCAGTTTCCTCTGGGAGAGGAAGGGAGCTCAGCGCTGTGTCAATAAACAGCCTCTGCCCCAAGCGGCCCCGTGCGAGGGGAGGGGGTGGCCAGGCTGGGGGAGCCCCATTTTGGTGCCTCCAGCTGGGATGGAGGAGACTCGCTTCCCTGTGGAATCATCCTGAGGGAGCGCGTGCTTATTCTAGACAGGTTTTCCAATCAGCCGATTCCTACTTGGAAAAAACCTGAGCAAAGTGTTCACCTGCCTCCCGCAGAGCCTGAACTGCAGCTCATATGGCACTGGGGCCTCCATGAGGCTTTTGGAGAGCAGCCTGTGGGACAATCACATCATTTACACGTTCTCAGCCACCTCCAGCCCCACAAAACCTCAGCGCTGGGCTCCCGTCCCACAGGAAAACTCAAAGTCACAGACACAGATGCTGCCCAATCTAGACACTCCAAAATGAGCCACTGGCATTCAGGGAGCTTCCTGAGGAGCCCTGGTGCCTGTTGCCTTCGCAAGCCATGGATATTTTGGGTTCCTCCCTGACGTCTGAGAGGGCAAACGCAGGAGCCAGGGACACTTGGGATGATCGACCTGCTCCGAGTCCGGTGCACTGTAATGGCACGGCTGAAATCTCCCAGGGAAGAGAGGTTTAAAGGAGGATAACCTAATTAATGCCAGTCAACAGCACGCAGGTAAACACAGGTCTTGTCCAACTCATTCCACATCTTATTTAATAAGCTCCCCAGGTAACCACTCTGGAGAACCTACACAGCGTGTGTCTCAGCAAGACAAGCAGGCTGGGGGGACACGTTACAGGGGTTAAAACACCCCATTACTCGGTGGAGCTCACAAGCAAGGACTCATCCTGGGGGGCTGCAAGGGCCAGTTGGACTTTTCCCCCTTAACCCAAGTGAAAGGATTAAGGCAGCAATAAAAAGGTCTGCAGCTGGGACAGGAACAGGGCCCGGCAGCTCTGGGAAAGTCAGACAGCAACGTGCCAAGCACCAAAAGGGCACTTTTTAGCACAGCAAGATACAGGAGCCATGTAGGAGAAGGGGACATTTGCAGAGGATGCTCCAGCTCAGGAAGGGCCACATGGAGTGGGCTGGAAGATGAGCTTGGTGCAATTCTATAGCCTTGGCTGTGTTAACACAGACACAGCAGGGTGGGCACAGGGAATGGACTTCACACGAAACCCGAGCGCAGGGTCCAACAGGGACCACAGAGGAGCCAGGGAAGAGCTGGAAGAAATGCAGAGACTGGGAAGCAAGCCCCAGGGCCTGTGGAGCCCGCACATGTCACTGTGCCGAGCTGGGACTGGTGGCCACAAACTCGCCTGGTGGCACTTTCTCAGCCACACAGGCCGCACTCGGGTGGTCTGTGCCCCAGGACACGCACAGATAGATTTGGGGCAATCTGACAGTGGACAGGAGGCCGGCAGATCCCCTCAGGCAGGGCTGGCAGGAGGGGGAGCAGGGATGGCAGGCTCCTCCAGTATCGCTTCCCATGCCCGGCGGGGAGCCCAGCCCCGGCCCGGGGACAGGACCAGATGTCCTCCCGCTCGCAGGGGGCTGGGAAAGCAGCGACCTCCGCCCTGCCGGGGCAGGCACAGACCTGCCACCGCCCCCCCAGCCAGTCTAGGTGCCACCAGCACGGCTCTGTGCCACACCAGCACTCAGCTGTCCCCTTACTGTGCTCGGCTGTCCCCTTACCAGCTCCAACCACAGCCCCTCCACTACCCCCCTTCGGCATGCAGATGGCAGGAGACTGCAGAGAATGAAGATTTTACAGCGCTGGCCAACAGCCAGGATAGTTTAGATGGTAGGAAAATGTTATAAAACCTTTTTAAAATGCCAGGCATGCCCCGTGGGTTTTAAGTACCCTCCAAGCAGGCGGCTTGCACAGTATTTAAAACACAGAGGGGCGGATCCCAGCTGGGGAAACCTACTGGGACTGAACGATGGTGTGCAGAGCTCTGCACCCCGAGACATACTGGGCACCCTCAGCAATGCAGGGGGTGAAACGGCAGGGGCTTGGCACCCATGGTGCTCACTCGTCCTGGGCAGAGCTCTCCCAGGGTTGGGAACCACCTGTCTCCTGCTCCACAGACCTCCATAACCAGTAAAAAGCATTCTGGGGTGAAAAGGAGGGCAGGCACCCCGGGCTTGGGAGGCTGGGAAGCAGCACAGGCAGGCACAGCCACTGGCATCCTCACCCCAGGAAGGACCAGGGCTGATGGACAGGGCAGAACACCTCCCTCCTTGCACCCCTTAAAGGGGTCCTGTCCTTAACTCAGCACCGGCACCAAGAGCTACTGGACGCAGGAGCATCCACCCTTCCCCCCACACATCTCTGCACCCAGATCTCGGTGCCCCCACAGCCGGTGCCCCTCACCACCAGCACTGCTGGCACTCACCGAGGTGCAGGGTGATGTTGACGGAGTTGGGGTGCTGGATGCCGAAGGCCATGGACTGGCTCTGCCACCAGGTGCTCTCCTCCTGGCTGTGGAAGTCGGTGAGGAAGGAGGCGTTGTGGTGGAGCCGGGGGTCGGCGGCATCGCAGCGGTGGCACAGGGCGCTGTCGTGGCGGGTGCCCATCTGCAGGCAATAGTCCTCCGGGGGCGACCCGCACGTGTTGGTGGCCCGGACGGTCCGGCCGAAGGCGGCGTTCTCGAAGTCGGGCATGCAGCGGCGGGGCTGCCCCCGGGGGTCCCAGCAGGCGGGCGAGACCCCCGCCCCCAGCCCCAGCAGGGCCAGCAGGCAGAGCCCGGGAGGCCGTGCCATGCCGGGGCTCTCCTGGCTGGACTCTGAGCCTCCTCCCGATGGCAAGGCGGGAGCAGACAGGACGGGATGGGACGGGACAGGGTGGGATGGGATGGGACGGGTCCCCCTACCCGGCACCTCCTCTCGCTCCGAGGTCCATCTTGTGGAAGCTGCTGGGAATGTCGAAATATTCGCGTGCGAGCCAGAGCTGCGAGGTTTGGTATCCCCGCAGGCCATCCTGGTCCCCAGACTGTGGGGATGGGCAGGATAGGACCCTCCAGTGGGACACATCCTGGCCCCATTGCTTTGGGGATGGGGGATTTGCACCTCCAGTTGCACGGATGGAGCAAAGCTCCTCCATTTCTTAGTCCCAGAAATGAGCTGTGGTGGTACATGCCTCACGTGGGCTTTTTTTTTTCTTTAATTGGTGATGGTCACTACTTTTCTTGCAGCCCCAGAATCAAAAAGGGGTGAGGGAAAAGCTTTGGAGCAGACCCAGCACCCTATTCTCCCCTGACACTGACTTATGGGATGCCAATCCTCCCCCACTCACACCAACCTGGCTGGGTTGTGGGGTCTGTGATACCCCCTCCAATGCCTCCACACCACCACCCACGAGTGGGGGTCCCATCTCTGCCTGCTGCCATGGGCCAGCCCAGTCCCCTTGACCAGGAAGAGGGCACATCCCTGTGGAGGCATCTCCATAGAGTAGCAAAACCCAATCATCACCAGACCTCATTAACAGCTCTCAACTAATCCGAATTATAGTCTGTGCCAAGGGAATCCTTCTGGGGACGGTGGCACCCTCCAGATTTGACCCAAGTGGACAGGAGGGCGACAGCAAATAGGGGGAGAGGCAGACTGGCACAGTGCCATGCCCCTGGGCAGACCCTGACCCCCACTCCACTCCACTCCACAGGAGGTGTGTTTGCAAAAGTGGGGTGCACAGGGGGAACGCTGCCTCTGACTCCCACGCTGCTTCACTGAGCCGCCCACAGGGGCCTTGGAAACTTAGCTCTCATTTATAATTTAAGCTCCCTTCTTCCCCTTCCCTTCCACTCTTATTTATTTTATTCTCCTTCCCCGTACACACTGCGGGAGAAAGCACCGGAGGGGAGCTGTGAATCAGAGTCCTGGGCAGCGGCTCCCGCAGCAGCGCCGTTTCAAAGCCTCATTATCATATATTGACCCAGGCTCTGACAGCCAGAGCCAGCTCCGCTGGGAAGGGTGAATTTCCCAGCACCGAGGAGCTGTGCAGCAGCTGCCTGGGAACGGGCGGCCAGTGGCAAACCCACTGTCAACCTCCCGGGAGAGGGAGAAGGGTTTTCAGCTCCAGAGTTGCCCCGCACATCTCTGCCACCAGTTTTAAGCAGATTTGAGTCCTACAGGGATGAGGTTTTCCAGATGTTTTGCTTTCCACTTGCTGCTGAGGCAGCAAGCTTCAGGCAGGAGATGCTCTCTTGTGTCATGGGTTTGCTTCCTCCTCCTTGGATGCGACACACACAGAGGAGATGACTTCCCTGCCCAGCTCATCCCCTCTCGCACAGGGATCCACATTAGGGAGTAACAAGACCATGTAGTGGGGGCTCAGTCTGTGCCCTAGGGATGTACAGAGGATTCAGGCAAAGCTGATGAGCATCCCAACCTCACCTCCTCCTCCAGCACAGCCCACCCAGCATGGGGGGATGGCCTACAGGGCCAGGGCTTGATGGCAATCAATGGTGACACCGCTATGCTCAGCAGTGGGAATGCTGCAGCTGGAGTGGGAGCTGCACATCCCCAGACTGATTTAGCTGCACCCTGAGCTGAATGAGCCCCTCATCTTGCCAGGTGCTAGGCACGAGGGTGCCTCTTGCCTGCACAAGGAGATTCCCCTTCACATCTAATGTTACTCTGGGAGAGAATGGCAGGAGTGGCCCCCACAGGACACACCTTCCTTGCACTGTGATTCCTACCACGTTGGGATGGTGGCTTCTCACAGCAAAACCTTCAAGCGCAGATGCGTCACCTTGCCATAGGCGAGCTTCACCCCTGGAAACGATGAAGAGCTAAAGCTGGACATGGAAACCCCTTGGCTTCCAGGAATATGGATGATCTTGAACAAGAATGTCCTAAGAGTGATCAGAGCAGGGGTTTGCCCCCAGCCCAACCGATATAGCAAAGCCCAACCTCACCTGAAGTTCTCTGTACCTGGAGAGACTTCACCCACTGCCCCAAGACTTTGGTCCAAGTGTGGCAGAGATGTGGTGACCAAGGCTGTGACGACACACCAACCTGCCCAGGAGCCTGGGGGGGGTGAGGGGGGGTTGGACCTGGAACCCTGTAAGGGTTAAAAGCTGTGGAGGCGGAGAGGAGAAAATGTTCTTCTGATTTGCTTAATGAACGTTAATTAAGAAGACAGAAGATAGCAGATTCCTTCAGGGTAGAGATGAAAGGCCCGTTAATTAAATCTGGAGAACGAGGAGCGGGGCCGACTGATCCTTCTCGTGATCAGACCTGACAAGGCAGGCGTGGGGCAGGAGCGAGGTGTGCCGGAGCCCACAGCCCCCCATCTCCCACGGCCCAGCTCCAGGCTGGCAGCACAGCCAGGTTTTGATAGAATGCACAGGACTGGGTGCCACCACCCACTTACCTGCCCCCATCCACCCCATGGAGCTGGGTGGGCCCTTGACTCCACTTGGATACAGAGTGATACTCTGAGATGGGCACACCCTGGCTTCCAGCAGAATCTTCTCCACAAGGGAGGAGCTGACCTTGCTGTAGCACTGGTGAAGGCAGAATGGCCAGTGCCTTCCTGAGGAAGAGGAGGAGAAGGAAGTTTGGGCACTCAGCTGTTTTCCTCAGGTCCCAGCACCCACAGGAGCTGGGCACAGGTTAAACGGGAGCAGGTCAGAAAGGCACTGACCACCACTTTGTGCCACGGAGGGACAAGGCTCTGGGACAGACACCTTCTCCCCATCCCTGGCTTTCAGCACACAGGCTGCCTCTCTCCCACAGAGTGGGCAGCTCCTGCCACAGGTGATTTGCCAAAAAGGGCTTTTCTGCCCATAGCTGAGACCTGGGAGGCTGTGGCAGACTAACAGGATTCTGCTGGCAGCTGCTGCCTCCGCACCCGCGCTCCCCGCCAGCTCTCAGCACAAGCTTATTTTTAAAAGCAGAGTGGCTCAGCATCCCAAATCACAACCCAAAATTGCAGCAACCCTACCTGGCCTGCCCCTAAACTGTGCCCAATTCCCTCTCCCATCCCATCCCTTACCCTGGGACTGGAATGGGGTTGGAGGCAGGCTCAGCTGCACGACGCCAGGAGCATTTCAAAGGGCACAGCCACAACGCTCTGCCACTCAGCACACAGAGCTCTGCAGGGAGGGACATCTGGGGTGATGGGGTGCTCCTTGTCAAAAGTAGCAGCCCCTTGGGCAGAGGGGAGGAGAGGCAGCTGCCAGCCCACCCCCCAACTCTGCTCACCGCGGGGCAAAAGACCCCTTTGAGGGGGAACAGCATGTGCAGCGTAAATAATGGCTGGAGCTTCTCTCGTGTGCACCAGCTTATTTTGTAAACCTGAACTTTGCAAAATGTCACAAAATGGAGAAATGAGAGGCCTGGGATGAGTAAATCTCTATTAGAAATTCCCTGGGATGGCAGCAGTCATGTTCTCGCTCGATGATGGCACATTACAGCCCAGCCCGGCTCGGGGAGCGGGGTCATGTGTGGCACTGATTGCAGAAAGTATTTAATTAACACTGCTGTAAATACAGCGCTAGTGATGCCAACCAGACCACGGCGGGGCAGGATGCTGCTGAGCTGCAGGAAGTTTTGCCAAGGCAGACAGGAGAAGATGAGGGAGGGCAGAGAAAATTCGGCAGATTTTGTCCCTGCCTTGCCGCAGCCCTTGGGGGCATCAGGAAGCACGAGGAGGATGGGACAGTGACACTGCCACCTGAGAGGGTGTCCCCTGAGCAAGAAGGGTTCACCATCAGTGCCCAGACAAGTAGGAAAAACCCATAACTGGGAAACAAACTCTGTCCCAAAGCAATTGCCAGGATACACATCACCATTCTCTCCCCTGATGCACAAATGGTTTAGAAGTCACCTTTTCAGAGCTAATCATCCCCAGATTCTCTCAATACCTGGCAGACAGTGAAAATAGTAACATCTCAGCTTCACTCATGCATGACCACAAGCTCATCATCTCACTGATGAGCTGAATGACACCAGATCTGACCCAGCCCAAGGACACAGGGTGACAGATGAGCCATTGCTGTCCCCAGAACACACACTTCACCCACCTCATCAGGCTCAGGAGGTCAGGGACAACAACAGGAGCAATGGCTGGGTCAGAGTAGGACCGGCCAGTTCCAGGCACAGCCAAAAAGGCCCTTTCCCCGCCTGAGCTCATCAGCAGCTTAATGACACCCGCTAAAAAGCTTCAAAGTCCCTAAGCACTCATCATATTACGGCTGCTCACGAGTGAGGCCAACCAGTACAAACCTCCTCAAAGCCTTTCTAATTAATGAGCAGGAGCTTAGACTCTCCCAGCCCAAAAGCAGCATCTCAGATAAAACCAGCAGCCTCCTGCCAGCGCCGACCCCCTTGATAAACCCCTTTAATGGGCTTGTGAGCATCACCTGAGGACACCTCATTGGCTAAGGAGGCACATCTGTCCGTCTGTCCTCTCCTGCCTCCCTGCTGTGGGTAGGGAGATGTCCATCTGCCCCTCCATCCATTGTTCCATCCATTCATCCATCCATCCATCTGTCCCCAGTGTGGCAGGGGCCATGGGGTGTGCCTGCCATGGCTGCCCCTAATCCTGTGCCAGGTCCCCTGACATGTCCCCTGCCTGTCCCCATCCACGAGGTGCCCAGAGCATCCCCTTCACCAGGAGGGTAGGTGACAGCTGAGCAGCAGCAGATGCCACCAGATGGTCACCACAACCAGAGACCTGGATAAAGCAATACCTGGGAGGGTGCTGGAGCCCCTCATTTCCAAAGTGACTCCCTGTACCAGTCCCGACTGGAGTGAGC